TGAATTAGTTATTGGTTTGGACAGTTTGAACTAATTTTCATTACACTATTAAAATAAATCTTGGCATCAAGTCCTTATGATAAATAATTTCTTTAAAAAATATTAAGAGGAAACAAATTTAAGGTTTGCAAGATTTAATATATTCTAAAGATGCTTAGAGGAATTTGCTACACAGTAAAGCTTGATTGTGCTAATAATGAATTATAAAATAACGCTGACGCTGATAAAGAAAACATTAAAAAGAAAGATAAAAAATAGTTGTCTATTATTCTATTTTTATAAGGTGTCTTTATATAAGATAATAAGAATGAATAAGAAAAATTAAAAAACTTATAATTATACAATATTTATTTAAAATCATACTTTTAAATTTAAGTAAAGTTATATAAAATTAAATGTGATCATGATAGTTATTAACACAAATGCATGATTTAAAATTTTTTTAATTTTATTTTAATTTTAACATTTTATAATTTAGTTTTTCATTTAAAAATTCCATTTCCTTAATTTAGTCTTATTTAATATAATAATAGATTTCAATGCAATAGTTTGAGAACCACCAACTAATGGGGGTGATATTGATGGAATAGTCTTTTCTCCAATGATCTTCTAAGGACTTTTTTTTTTTTTTAATGTGTAGAAGGTGTTATTCTTATTGGTCATAAGGCCACACATTCATGTAAGTCTTGCAGTTGTCGTCATACATTCCACACCTTAAATAAGTAATAGAAGTATGCTGTCTCTTTAATTTATAAGGCTTGGCATACTTTTCCTTTTAAGTTTTTTTGATCTTCCAATAAGTGTTTTTACATGTGGTGGTGCCATAGCTAGATGTTCAATTTTAGGCCACATATGTTCTCTATTTATTAGTTCATAGTATTGTGTATAAGTATATGTAATAATACTTATCAACATATTCCACAAAGTCTTCATTGTTAGCAAATATGGTTGCAATAACATGTCTATTTAATAAAAAAAATTTGTTTTCTTCAGTCCTTAGAACTGAGTTTAAGTATCTATAAATAATTTTTTTTAATAAAAAAAATACACAATTATTATATTGAAATTATAAAAATATAATAAATACTTCTTTCTAATAAAAATTTACTATTATTAGTTGCTTACCTTTAGCCCTAAGGGTTGATGTTAACAAAATATTTAATAAAATAAAAGTAAAATAACTAATAATGTTAAAATTAAATTATTAGCTATAATAAAATGCATATTACCTATATGGATTTCCTGTGAGTCTTTAAAACTAGCGTGAACAAGTTTTTTCTTCTAAGTCCTACAATTGTCTAGTATAATTTTGCACTTCAAATTTTAACTTTTGAGCTCATGTAGCTCTTTATTTCTTAAAATCCATCATTTTTTTTTATCAAGTCTTTTCTTTGACTTTGAGCATAATCATTTATACTTTTTACCAACTTTCTTTCTTTCTTTTTGTTTTATATTTTTTACAAATCTTGACATCTAGTATGTGTCTATGCATTCAAATATGAATACAATGAGTTGGTCTCTTACTTCTAAAATCATACCATTTGAATATCTCATAAATGTTATTCATAATGATGTCACATTTTGCATATTTAAACATACATGACTTTACCCAAACCAATGGATCAAGGCCAATCAATCAATCATTGGCTTGAACTGAAACCTTGATTAATTCAACTTTAAATGTTGCAAGCATTCTATCTCTCTAAAAAAAGTATCAAAGTAGTAATATAGATTATGCCTTCATAAACCTCCAATAAGTCTTGAAGGATTCATACTGACTTTTGCATGTTAACATAATATATTATTGATTGAGTTATACTACAAAATTGAAATGAAGAAAAGTAAAGTATCTCAAGAACAATACATTTTGTTGGTTTGAAAAAAAAAAAAACTGTTTGGGTTGATGGTCAATCTCATCCAAATGATTTGTAACAAATTAAGTTTATAATTGAAGGAAAAAATTGAAATCTAATTCTCAAGATCACAAATAATAAACAAATACTATAACATGATTACTCCAATTGTCATCATAGCCAAGCTAGTGACAAGACAACCATTAATGTAATACAACACATTAATTTATGCAATACAATAATGAAACTACAAAAGTCTATTTCCATTTCGAAGGAGTTGGTCAATGACCAAACATTGAAAATATTATTTTAATCTAGACTTAAAACGGAAAAAGGAAAAATATTAAAGGAATATTTTGGTATAAGTTTTAAGTTGAACTTGCATGAAAAGAGGTTTTTGTAGTCTGTATGCATTAACAGAAGCAAATAAGTTTATGATTTAGAATGACAACACTATATCAGAAGGTAGCAAAACAATCTTTCAAGACAATAGTGGACAGTCAATTTCAATTCACATCCACTTATTTTGATCCTACTTTATTACTCAAGTGAATGCAGAAGAGTAAGATTAACATAAGATCCTAAGGAAAAATATCCTTAGACCAAGCCCCACAAACTTCATCTTGCATGACATTTTGTAGTTATGTCCCTCTACATTAACTTATCTTGTGAACAACTTAATAAAGTATCCAAACCCATAAATTGCGGTAAACATGAAAAAAAAAACCAAAGATTAATGGACAAACACAAACCACAAATCCATAATGTAAAATCAAATTAAATTCAACAATTGGATAACAAAATTCATGAACCAATGTTTAAACTCACATTGAAGAGTCAAAAACATAGTTTTTACACACAAAAACAATTACTTTTATACTCAATAACACCAAACACATCATCTTAAAAACATATACATACATAAGATCATCTTAAAAGTGGGTAGTTTGAGGTTTCTCATAATTTCTCTGTCAATACTTGATAAAAATTCATTATTTTGATGTCAAAAGATTTGAAACTTATTCTATAAAAGCCCAAAAAAATTGAAGCAGTTTTACAAACTTATAGATTGGGATTTTTCAAATTCAAATTGGAATCAAAAGTTAGAGTTCATAATTTCAAAACTAAAGTTCTCCTTGTACACTAATATGTTTCACCCAATTTTTATGTCAGTTTATTTACAATATTATCAATAACAAAAATCTCCAAATTAATTTCAAGATTAATCAAAGAAAACTCAAATTCCTAAATTAATCTATTAGAGCTCATCGTATGTATGAATATACATTTTCTAACGATCGTACATACCAAAATTAGACAAGCTATGATACTACTTGTAGAGACATATTAGAATCTTAATATGACAAATGATAAATAAACATTATAATTGGATTAGGTGTTAGAATTATATGAAATAGTTGATATTGATAAGTACATGACTGAGTGCTTCCTTGATCAATGAGAGAAAACTAGAAAAAAGAGAAAGAACTTCTCTTATTACTCTTTTAAAGGTTTCACATATATTATCTTAACGGGGCAATAGTTATTCTGAAATAGTTAGAGCAGAAGCCTTTCTAGTTAATAATAGAATAAGTCAAGCCTACTTACTGTGGCTCAACCTAATAATAATCATACTTACTAATAATTGTACAGTTGTTACAAATAAGTCCAATAACAATTATATATAATATGTGCTAAACAATATGATATAATATTTTAGCATTCAATTAATTTGAAATTAAATTGGTTATAACACAAATTTATTTATGTCAGTTTACATATAAAATATTCAATAATAATTTTTTATTTTCACTCTCAACAATTGCTACTGCTAATAAAAAATATTAGTCAGTAGTATCTCTTCTTATTTTCACTTACAAAATTTCATAAAAATGAGATTTTAGAAAATATCTATCTACCATATTATTATCATACATAAAGACAAAATAAGAATAACATGCTTAAACTAAAATTTGTACTTTAATTTATTTTTTTTTATACTAATAACATAACTTGTTGTATTGCTAAACACAACTACTTTTCAATTTTTCTTTAACTATCCTTCCAGTCCAAAAATCCTTGGTAACTAAAACTATACAAAAATCTTCAATGTTCTAGTACTCGGTCAATTATTATTTACTTATTATTTCTCAAAACTTTAATAATATTTTGAAGTAACTATTAGTATAAGTCATTATTATTTATGATTGATTTTAAACTAATTGATTTTAAACCTCCAATGTTGTCTACTCAATACTTGTTATTTTTTGTTGAATTTTTCAAAGAATGATTTCTATGATGCAATTAAGCAATGAATGGGACAATTACCTATTATTCAACACATACACAAATGGACATGTACAACTAAAAATGTGTTATCTCCTAAACCATACACATTCATATAAGAACAAACAAACAAACTTCAAGCATTTCTAATGACAAAATCAGATTTCTTTTTTTATATCAAGTAAGAATTATAAAAATAATACATACAATATATTGCAAGACTCCAATCAATTGCAATATTTGACTTTGTCTGAATTATACTTATTATTTAAATAATCATATTTTGAACACTATAACAAAGCAAGTATCACAAATAGAAATTAAAATTGTGTTTAAATTTAATTAAAGTAATTAATTTTTTATGTAAAAAATTTATTATAGTTTTGTAATATCTATGTATATATAAAAAATTCATTAATCAAGCTTTATAAATAATTTAAAAATATTAATTTTTAAACAAAAACATTTGTAACAGTTTCTCAAACAAAAGTACTTTTAAGAGTTAATTTTTGCTAAATAAATTTTTATATTATATATTTATTTTTAATGTAACATAAATGCAAATTTAATTTTTTATAATTTATTTTATAATAAAATATTGTTATTAATTAATATAATTTTTACTGTTATTTAAATCTATAAAATTAAAAAGGAATCATATAAATTATTTATTTAAAAAAATATTTTAATTTAATAATATTCTTAACATGAAAAATTTAATAGTTAATAATTAATAACATAAAGATGTTTTGGAACGATTGCACCAAAATTAAACTCAATAATTCCCGAAGGTAATTCGGGGCTATTGCAATCTAACCCAATCCTAATTGGCTGTTGTTGGGAAGGAAATTTTGAGTCCAATTGATGTATCCCTTTCCGAGAAACTGCGCTGAAACTCTAAACCCACTCACTCCTCCGTCACCATCTACCACAGATCGAACGCACAGAAGAAGAAACCCTGCTTCTGCTACCCAATTCAGCTAGCTAGGGTTTCATTTCCCATTTCACCCCCTCACAACAATTTCTCTATGGAATGCTGATTTTTCCTTCTGTTCCTCCATCCCTAAACTCAACCCAATCGCATCTTTGACCAATCTGGTGCAGCCAATTCCACGACATATGATATGAAACCGTTGTCGTGGACGAAGCCTCTTCTTCTGCTCTCTCTGCTTCTCTCCGCTCGCGTTCTCTCCGATGATTCCAGCAACAAAAATTCCTTCCGCGAACGTGAAGCTACCGACGACTCCCTCGGATACCCCGAAATGTACCTCACATTATCATGCATTTTATTTCTTGCGTTATATTTTGTATTTTAGTGATTGTTTGGTAACATTTTTAATTCTGGAACTAATCGCTTTTTCTAAAAAAATGATTATTTCTTGCATTTTAATTATTTTTCTCTGTTCTGTTAGTGATGAGGATGCTCTAGTGAATTCGAAGTGCCCTAAGAATTTGGAATTGAGATGGCAAACGGAAGTTAGTTCCAGCATCTATGCAAATCCCTTGATTGCTGATATTAACAGGTAGGTTTTTGTAAGCTCTGCTTGTTAAGTGAAATATTTGTTTGTGTGATTTTAGTTTTGTGTGCGCATTGAGGATCTGATTTGGGTATTGCTAAATGCCTGGTTTTATTTTTTCGTTTTGCAGTGATGGGAAGCTTGAAATTGTTGTTCCCTCTTTTGTTCACTACCTTGAAGTTCTAGAAGGTGTTGATGGGGACAAAATGCCAGGTAAGAGTATAAGAGATCCCGGTGGGTGTTACTGTTTTCTTATTGTGTTAGGTTTGTTTTATAACGATGTTATGCTTGAGCCTGTGAAATATAATTAGGATGAGATATGTAATGTATTTCTTCCCCTGACAATGTTTATTCTGTTATGGTTTTGTTGTGGCTAATTTATGGTTGGTTATATTTGATAAGATGGAGGTAGGCTTGAGATTAAAAGGAATTTTGCCTCATACAGAAAGAGTCTTAAGTTTAGTAAGCCACAGAAGAAGGAAATAGTAGTTAATATGAATAATTACAGGTGTTCTGTAACCAGAGAGAAGCAGATGACTTAAAAGTGTTTTATCCATGAAGTGTCTATTTTGCACTACTTTTGGGAGATGATGTAGCAGCTCAGCTCTAGCTCATTTCACACTATTCTTGAGCTACACAGTGTAATGCAAGGACGATGACATTCCATATACTGTTTATTGCTGATTAATGTCATGAAAGCATTGACAATGTTTTGTGTTGGTTGCTAATTGTGTAGTAACACTGCCCTCATCTTAGGTCCAGGATGAAGATATTGAAAGTTTGGCAAAAATTATGTTTATGACATAGGCATAGTTACTTCTGGTACTTAAAATAAAGAAATTTAAATAGATTTGATCTTGCATGTCTCTAACACCAGTAACTTGTTAGTAAGGCCGACCATTCTTCATGATTGATTTAGGAAAAATTGGAAATTATATTGCTATGAAAGGTGGGGGAGGGAGGTGAATACTGAAGAGGATTAGAGCTAATGTGCTTTTCTGGCTTATATGAAACTGATTTCTTATGCTTAGGATCGCCTTGTCCTTATTGTGATAGACTATGTGATGCTTGATTTGAGTTTTGTTGGAAGTAATCTTCTCAATGTTTTCTTAGGTTGGCCTGCTTTCCACCAATCAACTGTGCATTCTAGTCCTCTTCTATATGACATTGACAAAGACGGAGTGAGAGAAATAGCTTTGGCAACCTACAATGGCGAAGTTCTGTTTTTCAGGTTACTATTTTCTTTTTTCCATATTTATATAACTTTGCTTCCATTTTCAATTATCCATTTCTTGAGGTTCTTTAATCAAGGTTATAATAAGTTATCGTTTTTAGGGTTTCGGGCTATATGATGTCAGATAAGATGGAGGTCCCACGTAGGAAAGTGCTAAAAAGTTGGTTTGTGGGCTTGAAGCCTGACCCAGTGGATCGCTCACATCCTGATGTTCATGATGATCAACTTGTCCAAGAAGCTACTGTCAAGAATTCTATGTCCCGTAAGTTTCTGCTTTACTTACTGCTCAGATCATTGTTGTGTATCACTGTACGGATTAACAATCTTCACATTTTCATTATCAACCTGATAAAACAGCTCTGAGCAATGGGTTCAGCAAGGTGTTTAAGTTTGGACTTTCATGTGATTTTGAAATGTACATTTATGTAATGAAATTTTATCTTTGTGTAATGATTCTCCTTGTAGAAATGAATGGAAGTAGACAAGAAGTCAACACTTCAGCAGCCACATCGACAGAAAGTACACTTGAAACCAAAAATGTGTCAAATCCAGAGCCTGAAAAGAAGATAAATGGAAGTCAAGTAGATGAGAATATTAAGGTGCCAACAATTGTTGATAATTCCTCTGTGAATACTGGGGCTGTGGAAACTGTTAATGCAGATAATACAACCAGCACTGGGAGACGTCTACTGGAAGATAACAACTCCAAAGGAGCAGAGCAAGGTAGTTCTGAATCCAACGATAAGGAGGCTACTCATGCTGCAACTGTGGAGAATAGTGAAGGCCTTGAAGCAGATGCTGATTCATCTTTCGAGTTATTCCGTAATAGTGATGAACTGGCTGATGAGTATAGCTATGATTATGATGATTATGTTGATGAATCAATGTGGGGTGATGAAGAATGGACTGAAGTTAAACATGAAAAATTAGAGGATTATGTGAATGTTGACTCTCACATCTTGTGCACTCCTGTGAGTTCCTGCTTTTCCTTTTTATTATTGTAAATTTGATTGATTCTGCATTCTGCAGGTCCTAGAAAAAAATGTGTAAACAGAACAATACCTTTCCATTTAGTCTTTTTCTTTCCTTTGCCAGGTCATTGCAGATATTGACAATGATGGTGTTTCAGAAATGATTGTTGCTGTTTCTTATTTCTTTGACCATGAGTGAGTCCATCCATACACTTGATTCTAAATTTTCAATTATATTTTTGTTTGGTTTTCTGTTTTGACAATTACAACAATAACAAGTTAACAACCAAGCCTTATCCTACTATTGTGACAATTATATGATTAAAATTCCTTGTTAAATAAATAGGTTGTCTTTTAATACATGCATCCTAGTTAACATTTTTTTTAATATTCATTAGGAAGGTGAATGATTGTCTTAATAGTTCTTTAGTTGGTTATCAGTCCTTTGTTGCTTACTTTTTTTTGACACCTGAGGGCTGAGGCCCTAGCTGTGTATCATTGTGGAATTAAGAACGGATGAAGATAAGCTCCCTACACACTTAGTCTTACATACAAAGGAATTTAGCATATTACTTTGACTAAATCTATGTGGAAGACAGTCTCTATTGTGATTGTAATCCAATTCTATACTTTTGGCATCTCTTGGTGAATTTTTATATAATTTGGATAGCTGACAATGAAAGATGTATGATTACTAGTAAGTATCCCATTCATTGCATCAGTAAATTTATAAAAATACATAAAAAAGATTATACAACATTAATTCAATATTTAAATAATTATTTTAATAATAATAAATATAAATATAAAAATATTTAAAACTTTTAAAAACCAAAATTATTCTGATTAATAAATTTTTATTTAATTATGATTTGCAAACTATTGTATCTAATGTTGATTGAAGAAATTTAAGTATTGATTAATGAAATTATGGAAGTGAAAATCTTGTTTGTTTGAATAATTAATCAAGAAATAAAATAATATTGGTGTGATTTGATTTAATGTGGAAGCTCAAGACACATTTCACGACATAATAATTAGCTACAAGATGAAGTTTTAGGCACCTGGGCAAAGGAATGGTGTCATAGAAGTAGAACAAAGGAAACCAATTATGATAAATATTATCATGTTTTGTGTATTTTCTGCAAAATATTAAGCAATAAAACTTTGCAGTTTTCTTCTTTTGGACTTATTTTGTTGTATGTATAGAAATTTGGTGAGATTGTACAAGTTAATATTGAGTGGTATCAAGCTAGCATACTATTTTATATAAGCTAAATTTGTTCAATCATCTTCAGGCTTCATTTATTTGGTTGCCAGACTGGGTATGCTTGTTTTTCTAATAAACAAGTTTTTGGAGCATTATTTTTTCTTACTATTGTCAAAACAACCAATGCCATATGATTTTTGGCATTGATTGAAGAATGAGATAATTGATTTTCTTATTTATATTGGTATAGTCTGCATCTACCAATGAGTAGTTGTTGATTTACCGGTCTGTCAGTAATTATCCACCTTTTAAGCTGACAGGTATTATGACAACCAGGAGCATATGAAAGAACTGGGTGACGTTGACATTGGGAAATATGTTGCTGGTAGTATTGTTGTTTTTAATCTTGATACGAAACAAGTTAAATGGACTGCAGAACTTGATCTGAGTACAGATACTTCAAACTTCCGTGCCTACATATATTCTTCCCCAACTGTTGTAGATTTGGATGGTGATGGGAATCTGGACATTCTTGTTGGAACTTCATATGGTCTGTTCTATGTGTTGGATCATCATGGTAATGTCTGGAGACTGCTTCCTTAGTATTTGTCGATTTAAAAAAATTCCTGCTCCCATGTTGTCTTCGTGATTTTTGCTCAGATATTAGTTCATTATTGATTCTTACATTGAATAATACCATATTTTCTCTCTAAACATTTCTGGTAGAATCATGACTTTGTTCCTCCCTGGAAAGATGTCTCTCATTTTTACAAACCTCTTCTCTGGCCTTCTTTCTGCTTTGTTTTATTGCAGTTTTGTAACTGGATGATTTGTAGCATTGCAAGGTTGGACATGTCTTGCCTCTGAAATCTTAAGATTTTTAACAGTAGAATGTGATTTATTTTCAGTTTTCAATTTCACGGATTGCAAGTTATTCTGAGCAGTGTTCTTATTTTACTAGTCAAATCTCAAGCTGTGGAATGAAATGGTTTTTGGTTACATGTTAATAGTTGTTTTTCTCATATAGGTAAGGTTAGAGAAAAGTTCCCTCTTGAAATGGCTGAGATTCAAGGAGCTGTTGTTGCAGCTGATGTTAATGATGATGGGAAAATTGAGCTAGTTACTGCTGATACACATGGAAATGTTGCTGTATGGACTCCAAAAGGAGATTTGATATGGGAAAAGCATCTAAAGAGTCTTATTCCACAGGTAAATTACTATCTAAATCTTCCTCAGCATGATTGTATGCACTATATGTTGTCAGTAAATATTCTTGATTATGGAACAATCACTATTTATGGTATAGAATTTCCAGAATGGTTTGGGTTGATGGGATACTTACAGAATAAATGTAGAATGTAATTATGCAGGTCAAAAAGATGAATATATGACTTCTAAAGAAAAGAGCAAATAGGGGGAAGTGAACGTAGTAACTCCAGGTTAATGTTTGGTAATTTGTAGCAAATTTTAAATAATTTCTAATCTCCTTTTTTTATTTATTTTTCAGCAACAAAGTAAAAATGTTATTCTTGTATTTTTTAACAGCTGTGTTTGTTGACAAAAAAATGAGTTTTGATGTTGAAACGTGCTTTGCATAATATGGTCATTAGTGACCAATGGAATAGTTATAGAGAAGATGATGTTGGTAAAGCTGTCCATATGAAAGAACTTGTTTTAAATGATATATGGTGGGATAAATTAGACTATATTCTTTCTTTCACAAATCCTATATATAGCATGCTTAGAAAATATAACACATTAATATAAATTAATTATCAATATCTCTTTATAAATATTATTTTTTTAAATTTATGTTAAAGTATGTAAGCCGTATTGTATATTGAAATTTAAATTTTTTCCATATTCCTGTATCCATGTTGTATCAAGTATCCAGGCTTCATAGGATCTACCTAATCCTTTGTTTTGTTTTATTCTATAGATCTATTAACTATATATGGTACGATCATCTACAATATAATTATTTATGGTATGTTTAAAAGTTGTCAATTTTGACATATAAATATAATGTAATAGGATAATACCAATCAACAACGTAAATATAAAATTATCATAAATCATAAAAATCTCATAGAGTCATGCAAATAATCCACCATAGCACTAACTATAGATTTAGCTAGACATAATATAAAAGAAAATAAAAAATCAATAAACTAATCCATAGTAATCGAAAAGTATTACAAACTAGATGAGTCTCCAATGGAGAAAAGATAAAGAGAGCTCTTGATTCCAAGACACGCTCCCAAAGCTCCCGTAGTCATCTACTGACCAACACTAGGATTGAAGATGTGAAAGAGATGTGGAAAAGGCGTAAAAGGAATGTTATCAAAAGGATAATAAAGTGTTCCTAAGTTGCTTCTTCTGGGATCTCTATAATAGGGTTTGAAAATCCTAAAATTGATTTAAAGTTAGACTTCTTACCGGTAAGCACAGCCATGCAAGACCATTAGCATGGTTGTGCAAGACCATAAGGACAGCCATGCATGTGTCTCAAAACAACCCTGTGCTAATTGCTAGGGTGTGGGCGTGGGGCTATTGTGAACCCCAATTTTTCATTTATTTTGGGCACAAAATGAACCCAGAATTTAGTTGTGGCTTTCTTGCATTAAACTGTACAATAATCATAAAAATTAGTGTTTAAACCTAATAAAATAATGGCCATTCATAAATAAATAGGTTATAAAAATATGCTAAAATACAGACTTATCAAGCTGTCAGTTTTACCTTTTGAATTATGTTCATTGGCTTCCAAATTGTTAAGACACATGCATTCTGTTGCTGATGGTAGAATGCTTATGTTAACATCACTTTATGTAGGTAATTTCTCATTAAACTTTAGACAATGTGTTCATCTGCAGTTATTCATGTATTTTAAGTTTGCTTAATTAGTCATTTGTCTCTCTTCCTCATTCCATTAGCAACCGTTTAGCTGTTTCCTGTCTAAAATTTGATTAACGATGTCACTTGATTTCATTTTGCTCAGGGTCCAACTGTTGGTGATGTTGATGGGGATGGCCATACTGAGCTTGTTGTGCCAACACTGTCTGGGAAGATTCATGTTCTTGATGGCAAGGATGGGTCATCTATTGGGCGGTATCCATATCAAACTCATGGAAGAATAATGAATCAAGTTCTTCTAGTTGATTTAAATAAACACAAGGAGAAAAAGAAAGGATTAACTATTGTTACCACATCATTTGATGGTTATTTGTACCTCATTGATGGACCTACAGGATGTGCCGATGTTGTGGACATCGGTGAAACTTCGTAAGTGATTCTTTAACCTGTGTCTTGAATTTGCTTTCTGTCCTATTATTTGTGAAATTATGAGTCATTTTGCTTGCAGGTATAGCATGGTCTTGGCAGACAATGTTGATGGTGGGGATGACCTTGATCTAATTGTCACAACTATGAATGGCAATGTCTTTTGCTTCTCAACTCCCTCTCCTCATCATCCCCTCAAGGTAGGATGTATTTGAAATTTGATGATTGAGAGTAAGCAACTTCATTTTGTTTGTGAATTGCTTTTGCATTGTTTCAGGCGTGGAGATTGCCTAATCAAGGAAGAAATAATGTTGCAAATCGGTACAATCGTGAAGGTATCTATATTACTCATCCCTCTAGGGCATTCCGTGATGAGGAAGGCAAGAGCTTCTGGGTGGAAATTGAGATTGTAGATAACTACAGGTACCCATCTGGGCATCAAGGACCATACAATGTCACTGTAAGTTCTTAAACAAATTTAGTTCTTTAGATCACTGATTCCCCGGAAAACACTAAATGTGTCATTCTTTTTTCATCAGACTTCCTTGCTAGTACCTGGTAATTACCAAGGAGAGAGAACAATAAAGCAGAACTTTACCTATTATCAACCTGGTAAACATCGGATTAAGCTGCCAACTGTGTCAGTAAGGACCACAGGAACAGTTTTGGTTGAGATGGTTGACAGGAATGGACTCTATTTCTCTGATGATTTCTCACTTACATTCCATATGCACTACTATAAACTGTTGAAGTGGCTTCTTGTTCTTCCAATGCTTGGGATGTTTGGTGTGCTTGTAATCCTTCGGCCACAAGGCTCAATGCCGTTACCATCATTTTCGAGGAACACTGATTAATGATGATTACTTTGTTTTATACACTAGGCACAATTGAGTTCAGAAAATGTGAATATTTTTATGTTAAAATGAGTAGAATCTGTTGTGTTGTATGCCTTGGTGCTGCGGCAGGCTTTGATCGCATAGGTGAAGCAAATCTTTCTATAAGCTGAATTATTGTTCAGATAAGGTTTGCTTCAGAGATGATTCTTGCAACACAGCGAATGAGATCTGGATATTGGGATTTTGCCCTTGATGTTGTAGTGTAGTGTAATTTGATACTGAAATGTTTCACTGAACTATAGTTTTTTTGGCATCTACAACGGAATAGATATTTAATAGAAAGTGGAGTTTATTTTCTTTTTACCAGTTTTTTTATATTCCGTTCCACTTTGTTTTAGGATCAAAGTTCTGATGTGTCAAGTTAGGTAATAAATAATTTTTTTACTAGGTTATATGAATTTAATTCAATTGTGCTATGGTAGTGCGTATGGAATGAACTATTGAGAGAAATCATTAACAGTTTTTTTAATTCAAATATGCTTTTCTCCATAATCACTTAACATATTCACATTATTTAATATCAGCGTAGAGATCTTTTATGCTAGCATTAAAACAACTCTGGAAATGGCGGATTCGCACTTTGGAACAATAATTTGTTCACATAATTTTCTTTCTATATATTTTTTTCATAGAAGGTTGAATCAATTGACATGCAAAGGGAGTAAAGAGCTTTTTGTCGAGTTTAAAGGAATCTCGAATCATGAAAAATAACTGAAAAAGGTGGAATCGTGTACCAAGATTTATAATTAAGTTACATCACTTTATTTCACTGACTTAAAACTTTTACACGTAAAGTTGTAAAACTATCAATTTAGAGCTTATTGGCAAAGAATTCTCCATAATGACAACTTTAGGATTTAAAATTTTCATATTATAGTTGAAGTTTATTTAAGATTACAGTTCATTTTGGCTTTCATTAACTACTGCTGAATTATGGTATATTGCGCTAGTCAGTTTAATAAATTTTTAATATTAATTCTTTTTTTAATTTTATTTTTTATACGATTTAATCTAGATTCAACCTAGGTTGCACACTTATTTAAGTGATGCCAAATCACTTATCACTCAAACTAACTTAAATTAATAAATTTTTATTAATTTTGACGTATTATACTTTTATGTTTGTCACATAACATAATTTGTTTTATTTTTTTTATTTTTTAATGAAATTATTATATATTAATTTTTAATATCGTATTTTATTTTATTTTTAAATACACTAAATATAACATAAAGAGTAAAATGTATTTTCCTTCCTTGCTTAAATTATCATATTATTCCCTCTTATTTTAAAAATTACACTTTCTTTGTTATAGTGACCAATATTGAACAATTATGAATAATTCTTTTAAAAGTATTTTTCTTTCTTTTTAACTTCTTAGGTTATTAACAACTAATTTTAAATACCATATTATTAATTTTCATGCTTTAATGGATGCAATAAAATTTTGAACATTCATAAAGAAATATTGAGTAATAATATCAACTTTGATGTTTCACATAGTCTTTGTTGATATCTTAAATTTTACTTTTATATCATTTAATGGATGCAATACCATATTACTAATTTATCTTCCTTTTTTTTTTCCTTTTGTGAGGATATGTTGATTGGGCTAATAGATACAAATAATAATTTTTAAAAAACTAAAATTATATTATTTATAAACTATTTACTAAAATATAGTAGTTTGCACAATAATCAAATAATGTAAAGAAAAAATTACGTGCAATACACCAAAAGTTGACCTGACAGATTCTGTTGTGTGATATTTCTTTTATTGCTTTTATGCATCAATTTTGCCACATAACAATTTTTTGTGTTACGCATCCTTCAGTCGGTCCATACTTTTATACTGTTTAGCTACTGTATAAACTATCTTATTATAGTAAGTAACTTTTAAATAATATTATTTTAGCCATCGGTTCCAAATTTGCATTGTTGTAGTTGATCGTTGAATGTTAAGATTAAATTTGACATTTATGACTGATAGATGATTTAGAAAACCAACTTCACCGCAGGGTCGAACATAAATTGGATTTCTAAAAAAACTAATCTAAACTCATTTAAATTTAATTACATAGATTAGATTTTAAACTAATTTATTTTAATTTTTTAAAATTTAATTTAAATTTAGTTTAAAATTAATTTTAAATTTGATAAAAGTATACTATAAATATTTTTTTATATTATAAAATTATTATATTAAAAAATAATTAAATTTTATAATAAATAATATAAAATTATATTTATATATATTTTAATCTATTAATAATATAATTCTTTTATTTTTATATTGTATTAAACTAAAAATATTTATATATATTTTACTTTTTATCATCTATCTATCACAATTAATTATAAGGATTAAATTTTAAACTATTTTATTTTATTTTTTAATCAGTTTAAAAGTGATTTTAAAATTTGAATTTAGTTTTAAATTTAGTTGTTGTTGAAACTAGTTTTAAATTTAGTTTTACGTTAAATTAGTTTTAAATTTAGTTTTAAATTTAATTTTTAGATAAAATTAATTTTCAATACATTTGTGAATTTAGTTTTTAAGGTAAAACTGATTTGTTGTATGCACGTATTAAATTAGTACGTTTTAATACTATTTTAATAATATTTATTTATTATATTATATTTTATAGAAGTTTATAAAATATTTATTATTTTTTAAACTTATTTTTAATAAATGAAATTGATGATGAAAGTTTAAATTAAAACTTATAAAAATAAAAATAATAAAAAAATAATAAAATTATTATGTTATAATATTTTAAAAATTGAGAGATAAATATAAATATAAAAATAATTATAGCAATTAATTTAAAAATATTTGTTATATTTTAATATCTTTAATATAATAATTATATTTTAAATATTTAGGTTTAATTATAAGAATTAAGATTAATAAAAAATATTAATCGTAAAACGTAATTAGGATAAAATTTTGTAAACTGATGTAGCGCAAAATATTAATAAATAAAAATATAAAATAGTACTTCCATAAATTTAGATAAATAAATAAAATTCAACTTTTTAAAAAGTGGATTTAAAACATTAAATCAGTTACACAAATATAATCAGTTTAATATTGATTATGAATTTAACTTATAAAACTGATTTTTGTCCACTCTACTTTACAGGTCATGTTACCTTCCTTAGAGAGTCATGACATCACTTGTATTTCATTCTAATATTCCCAGTCAGGCAGGCCAATCACGTTATTACTATTGCAAAAGGTCAAATAACCTCCCCACCCTTTTTTCATTACCTTGGAGAAGTTATAGATGAAAGTACTCCAGTAACTGGTTTCTAAATTATCCCCAGTATTTTGGACCTGAACGAGCTGGAAAAAAGAGAAACCATTTCCAAACTTCCATAAAATATTGTCTCTTGCTTGCTATCACTGAGTATGTGAATCAACTTTTAATTTAACTGACATGTGATGCTTTCAACTTAATTATTGATGTCAAATTTTAGTTTTAGACATGCATATGCATTAAATATTTGAAGAGTCACTCATTATAATCTTACTTGATTCGTGAGGAATTGATTGCCTTGGTTCAATTTTTCAGTAGAAGCTTTTGAGCCTAAAATTTGCTATGGCTTTTTTTTTTTTTTAATTTATTTATGCTAATTTGGGTTGAAAACCTCCAAACTAATTCATCTCATTACTTATTTTCTTTGGCAAACAGCCAAGCACAAGTGACCGATTAAGCACGATAAATCCATTAAAAATATGTAATAGTGATTTGCTTTATAAAATATTCCAAGACAAATTTCAGATAGTCTAAGATGTTCTATAAAATTCTGATATTCTTGCTTGTTCTTAAAATGCCTATTTATTGCCAGCAGATTTGTGGCTAGACCAGTTTGCTAATGACATCCATAAGCAAAATTACCTATGAAACTGAGATGATAATATAAAGTTTTTATTGAATAACCACCAACAATTCTATGATATTCTTGCTTGTTCTTAAAATGCCTATTTATTGCCAGCAAATTTGTGACTAGACCAGTTTGCTATTGACATCCATAAGCAAAATATCCTGTGAAATATGAGATGATAATATAAAGTTTTTATTGAATAACCCCCAACAATTGCTAGCAGGTAGCAATTAATGTCTAGCACACTTCATAGTATCATTTTTTAACATCAGAGAACCTTCTTTCCAGAGATTGGTAGCTAACCACAACGTATCTTCTTTTCAGAGCCATCTTTCCTAATGAAGACTTAGGAATGAATGTATCTGCATTTTCATGTATCCTATATCGTATTGATCTAAGGAGCTTAAAATTAAAAAACACAAATTGATGAAGCTTCACACATTGCCCATTTAAGAACAAAATAGGGTAGGTCACTCTTCATAAACTACCTAGAAGTATCATAAAAGACAATAATTTCATGGACAACCAAACATACCGAATTGGATCCTGCCGATGCTTGGCGAAGTTTAGGTAGCAAACTAGTATATTCAACTAGAGACGACAGATTGAAATTTGGAGAAAGAAAAATAGCAACAAAATGAAAGCATATTGAAATGTAATATTTATTGATACACAAAAAGCAACATTAAATTCATGTAAACATTAGAACAATTTAAACACAGGCAAACCTCAAACTCAAGCAATGGTGAAACTGAAGACTTGGCAGCACTAGGTAATTCCAAGAGATTCGTTTAATAAACCAGACAGTGAAGTATATAAAATCATCAGTTTTATATTATAGAGTTTTATTTTCATCAAAAAAGAAATTTTGTTGGATAAGAAAGGCTACACAGAAGATCCTCATGAAGGAAAAAAAATTGAAGACAAGTAAAGAACAGCTCTCCAATCTATCTACTTATCTGTCAGGGAAATTCTGCTTGAAGAACACCAAAATAAGAACATAAGACAATCCTAACCTATAAAACATTTAAACGGAACAAATCTACTTTATAGATGATTTGCAGCTCTATTGATTGTTTAATTCATCTAGACAAGCTTATCAAATTGGGATTCAAATCATGATTTGGAAGGGCTATTTTCTAAATCAAACCGTTTTGTGAATCATAAGATTCAATATCAATAAAAAAAAAAAAAGTATATTTAGCTATCAAAGACATGTAAAAGCATAAATTTATGCTCAATAACTAAAGAACATAAATTCACTAGGAGCATTTTAACATAAAAAACATATATATATTAGCATTTTGGAGTCAGCAGAAGCAAGGGACCATTGAACTGCACCAATACTGGAAAAAAGAGCAGAAGAAGCAATAAAGTAGTGTGCTGGAACAGAAGCAAGGAGACAGCACATGTTCAGACACAATCACACAATTCAGTCACAGAACTGTGTGATTCATAGGGTGATTAGTCTGATTCAGATGCAATTCGCACATTTCATGGCACGATTCATTAACAAAAACGATACACTGCAAGATTTGTATTGCTGCTGCTCTGTATCATGTCGAATTACATGAATATATCACAATTCATGCAGTACTGAACAACGCATCTAAATGCTAGCATGCTTGGAAACCGTCAAACAACAGTTTGGACAAAAGGTACAAGAGAAACATTTTTTACCAAACCAAGGTCTGGGATTTTCCCAACTTCAATCCAAACACATTAATATAACAAGTATTTCATCCTCTGTTCAACAATTTAAATTCAGTTGTTATCAAATCTTCCAAGGACATTATCGAAAAATGAAACTATACTAGAAAGAGAAAACTTTACATTTCTCTCATAGAAGAAAGACGTACTTTTCTTAATCCCAATCTTAATACAAGGAAATGCACTATGGCACTTGCAAATTTATCCAAATCTTCGCTTCATAGAAAGTGAATTAAAGGTTAAAGCTACTACTAACTTTTCTTAATCTCTAGGGGCAAACAAATTAAGTTCTAGATGAAATGAAAAAGGCTTGACAAGGAACCTTCAGAGGATAATGCCATATTAGAGTAAACACAAAAATTAGTCCACCAATATACACAGCACATCAAGTTGATCCTCTACAGATTTGGACATCAATTTAGTCCAAAACTACTATGCAATGGTCAGAAGCTACGCAATTGAATTAGATCAGATTTTCTTTCTTTCCACCATAAATTTCTATCAGAAATGTGCAATTACTCAATTACGATGCTTCTATGTTTTAGTCCTTGTGTTCGTTGTTCTACTTGGGAATTTAATTGTTTTTATTATTCTGAGATTGTTGACATTACTAACACATTTTCAACATATATGCGCAGCCTACGAGTTAAACCACATCATCCAACTCTCTCTAGTTTCGTGAACGCATTCAGCTATGATGTCTGACCAAAATCATTCATACCACACTCCATCAATTTGCAGAATCACAGTCATATTGGGGTTCATTCAACTACAACATTTCAGAAAAATAATCTAAACATACCCAAATAAATTAAGTTATTAAAACAATTACAAAATTTCATTTTTAAAAAAATACATTAACAATCCACTTTCATTTTTTATTAAAAAAAAAAAAGAAGAATTGAACTGAAATCTTACACAAAAATCAAAGCACTTGCAACACAGGTCTCTTCCCAAGCCTTTTGATCTCTTTATCCATGTTGCCAGTGAGCATGAACCCAAACATCTTGAAATCACACAAAAGGGACCAAAAGGGGTGTCTCAATGTTTCAGGGAAATTCCTTTCAACAAACAAGTGACTGTAGATAGCACAACCATAGCCAGAGAATGGTACAATAAACAAGAACCACCAACTGAAGAGGAGCGAGCAGAGGAAGAAGAGAATGCTGAAGAGTGTTCCTGCGAAGTGCCATCGCCTTGTGGAAGCCTTGGAGTGTTGGTTCATGTAAAAGGCCCAAAAATCCTCTAAACTCCTGAAATTCATGGCTTCACCACAAACCCACCACCCCACCTTGGAATGAACCTGAAATTCTTTGTGTGTGAATTTCGAGGGATTGAGTTGAAAACGGTTGTGTGTCGTTGAAATTGTGTTTTGGGATTTGGGAATCAAAGTTGGAATCTTGATGGTGCAAGCATACTGTCTTATAGAACTGTGTAGGGAGACTTGAAAGGTGAAGTGTTGTGTTCGGGTATTTTGATGTTTAGTTTGCCCACTTATTTGTCCTGTCAATGTTTGATTGTCGTTTTCTTTTAAACAAAATTTGTTATAAAATGTTTTAACTTTTAAGCCAAGTTATATATGTATATATATATATATACACACACTGAGTGATGACTCCAAGAGTTTGAGTTGAAGTCTGTTAGACAGACTTTGATTTTGTCTTGTTAAGAGGTAGAGTTAGTTAACTCTTCTTCTGTGGAAAGTTCTTTTACTTCTGGGAGGGGCTGTAGCCTTTTTAGATATCTTATTTATCTTGTAAAAATTCATGAGTAAGGTAATCAGGGAGAGAGTTTAAAGTGTTTTTAGGATACTCAATTTTAAAATAAAAAACACTTAAAATTACTTGTTATCTAGAAAAAATTTGTTTAGACGCAAGATTTTTAACATCTTTTTGAAGGATTTCTTTAACAGATTTACAATCTATTCTAATAAGAAATTTTTAATTTAACAAATCAAATTAAAATTTTGAAACACATAAAATAATTGTCAAAACTTTTTTTTACAGTAGAATAATTTTGTTATTTAAGATTCTAATGTTTTGATGTGTATGCAATGATATGTTAATGGGAGTCGACTCTTTGTTTAAGGATACCACCATAGCCTATATCAGAGGCATCTATTTCAACAATTTTGAAAGCTTGAAGAATAGAGAGATAAAGACATTTTATCTCTTTGACTTTGGTTTTGATTTCCTCGACTACATTAGTATGAACATCAGTCTAAGAAGGAAGATTTTTCTTAAGCTATCATGTAAAGACTTAATGATATTATTGAGATGAGAAATAAACTCACCTACATAATTGAGACATTCTAAAAATCTTTGTAATTGAGTTTTATCTAAGATTCTATGTGGAAACATATTAGCAAATTTTATGGATTTGCTAATAGAGATGATAGTCCCTTGGTGGATATTATGACCAAAGAATCTGATATTAGTTTGGAAAAAATCAATTTTTGATTTGGAAACAGCAAGACCATTTTGTTTAATCACATTAATGAAAACATTTATATGTTTAAAATGTTGATCAATAGAATGAGAAATAATTAAGACATTGTCTATGTAGACAATAACAAATTTGGAATAAGGATTGAAAATAACATTCATAATCTTCTGGAACTCAGAAGGAGCAATACATTCCATTCGTATTGCCCAAAGGGAACAGTAAAGGTAGTCTTGTACCTATCTTCTTCACTGATTTAGATTTGTCAAAATTTAGATTTCATATCGAATTTGGAAAATATCTTAGCAGAGTTAAGTCTATTAAGAAGATATTTCTTATTGGGAATAGGATAGAGCTTGGTTAAGAGGTTTGTAGTTAATGACTAACCTGGGAGTACCTCTTTCTAATTCTGCTTATATGTTGACATAGAACACAGAACAAGACAATGGACTCTTACTTTTTCTGATGAACTTTTTGTTTGAGAGATCTTTGATCTCTTTTTGACAATATTGAAGGAGTTCCTTATTCATTTGAATGGGTCTCGCCTTAGTAGGAATATGACTTTCTTTAAATTTAACTTCGTAGGGGAGGTTAACTATATGTTTCTTTCTATTCTAGAAGGCATTGGGAAGATCAGAATATATAGAAGATTGAATAGACTCTAAAGGGGATTGAATTCTTTTCTGAAGTGATAGATTCTTCAGCTGCTTAACAATGTTAGCAAAAGAAACTTTTTCTTTCAAAAAATTGATTTTCAAATTGATATTCCTAGTAAAAGATTTATTGGAAATTTGAAAGTTATTTGCTTACCTAAATGGTAAGTTGAAATTCCATCTTTTGAAATCTAAAGCAAGAATATAGCTTTTATAAAAAGTGTTCTCAATATAACTTCATTTTTCAAATTCTTAACATAAAGAAAGTTTATTTCTATCTTAAAACCTTGATTTTCAAAAATAGCTTTAGATAATTTATAATTAATCTTAAGTTTTGATCCATTCGCTGTGCTGAGTTTTTCATAAGTTTTTTTTTAAAATATTTAGTAGAAATTAATCCTTCTAAAATACAGTTTGAATCAACTCTTGTATCAAAAAGTGCCAAAGTGTCAATAACAAAATCATCAATAATGATTCTGATATTAATATAATTTTTTTGAATTTTGACCTTATTGATTAAATTCATAAAGATTTCTTCTGGGTTTTCAGAATCAATTTTCTCAAGAAGTTGTTCTTTCACAACTTCAAATTCATCATCATTTTCAAGTTGTGAAAGAATAACCTGATAAATTTGTTGTTGTTTTTTGATCTCACAATTCTCCTTTTTGAGATTGTTAATCTCAATCTGAAGATTTTGAATTGTAGTAGGTTTTATACTAGAATTATTTTCTAATCTTTTGAAAATACTAGTTACATCAAACTTGTTTGTTGTAAAATACTCTTTTGGTTTTTGTTTTGTTTCAAAACATCTTTAAATTTACTAAGAAAAATTTTCTTTTTCTAAGGATAAGGAATAGAATTAATAGCTTCAAAAAAAAGATATTGTTCTTTTGTTAAAACATTAATTTTTGGAGTTTTATCACTATCAGAAAAGGAGATTTGGTCATCTTGTTGAATTTGATTGATATCCTCACTAGATTCTCTAGCAGAATCATCCTCAGAGGATTCAATAAGAAGGTTGTTGAAATGATCTTCTATGGTAGGATCAAGGTTGAGATTACTAATCTTTTTCTTGAGGCTATATTATTTATTGATATGGCCGGACTCACCACAATTGTAATAGGTTATTCCTATCTTAGGTTTTCTTGGAACATTATTGGGGATAACATCTTCTCCAATTTTCTTAGAAAGTTTTTTGTTATAATTCCTCTTGTAAGGTTTCTTCTTGGTTTTTACTTCCTTCTTGGGATAATATTTTTTCTTTTTGGTTGGGTAAGAAGGTAGACCAAATTGTTTACAGAAAGAAGTTCAAGGTTCTTTCTTTGGCTAGTTGTCTTTGGATCTTGTTTTCTTGGCAGATTTTCAGAGCTATTTTTGTTATACCAACAATGAGTTGCCCATAAATGAGACTGTCATAAGGAATTTCTCCGTTGACAGAATGACTTCAGAGTTCCTAACTAAATCTCCAAAAGACTTGGGAAGATCAGTTAAGAATTTTTCTTTTCAAAAGGATTATTGGCTATCTTCTCTAGTATAAACTCTAGACAATAAAATATCTTTATACCATCTAAAATCATCTAAAGTTCTACATTTAAGATTGGATAATAACTCAGCAGACCTATCTCTCCATAAGGACAGATCTCCTAAGCTATAGTATACAGGAAAGTATACACAGCATCAAGGAGTTTCTCATCATTGTCAATAATGTTTTTTTCCCTTTGCATCAATTTTAATAGCGAAGAGAATTCTCTCTTTGTCATCATCAGTGAGATAATTATCCCGTCATCCTTTAAGTTGGCCAGAAAAGCCTACTACAAGAATGTGCATAATCGTATCTTCCAAATAATCATGAGAGGTTAGATAGGCAGTGGCCATCATAGACATATGTTGTAGAGTGGTAATAATATTATACTCTGATTTACCATCTATGTTCTAGTCATAAATGTTATTGGCATTAAAACTTTGGAAGCTATGCTCATTATTTTCTTCTAAAATATGGTCAGCGGCAGTAGCCTTATTATAATAAAGCTTAGAAGAAAATTTCTAGTTTCTACTATTAGTAATCACTGGATTGACCTCTAAGATTGAATCTGTTTCAGAAAGTTGTTCTGAATCAATTTTAGAAAGAGCATTGACAGTTTTGGAAAGAGATCTAGTCTTTGGTCTAGCACTAGATTCTTCAGAAGTTTGAGGTGTATCAAGAACAGTCATAAGCACACTATTAATTTTACTTAATAACTCACTTCGGTTACCTAATTCCTCTAAAGATTTTGGCCTTTCTTTCTGCCTAAGCTCTGAGATTTTCTACTTGGCTTTGGTGTTGATTTTGAAAGGTTTGAAAAGTGGTTTTTCTAATTGAGTCTGAGAAGAAGAAGAAGAAGAAGAAGAAGAAGAAGAAGAAGAAGAAGAAGGTGTTTCTTCCTCTTTTTGTTTTATAGGATTAGTAGATATTTTATTCTCCAAAACCTGAAGATATTTGTTAGTATAATTGGCCTGTTCCATGAGGCCTTAGATATCACTGGGAGTAATAGACTCATCAAGATTTTTAGTTTTGAATGGCATTGCCATAACTGGATTGCCACTATTGTCTTTTAGTTTGGGTAACTGAAATTGAGTTGAAGAGGGAAGATCACTTTGGACTATTTATCCATCTTTGATCTGCTAGGAAATGACATTAGCAGAAGATGTACTAATAATATCTTTCTGCCAAGGATATTCTAAATTATTTTGAATGGTGCAAGCATGAAACCAATCAAAGAAAGGAATATTTTGTTCAACCTTTTCAAGAAATTTATAAAACTTCTCTTGGATGTCAGATCTATTACTACCCTTATAATTCTAGAAAAATAACTCTTTCTGAGGTTTCCAATCCTCATAATAGAAATCTTTCCTAAGGGTTTCCTTATCTATAATAAATTTATGAGACAATATCATAAGACTCATTAAGAGAGGAATAGGTTGAAGATTAGATACTCTGGTTTTCTTCTTTCTTATCGGAGGTTTGGTAATCTATTCTAGGAATACTAGAAGAGGTATCTAAACCTTGTAGGTTTATGTGAGAAGGATAATGAGATACAGATCTAGGTATCTCAGATCTAAAGGTTTGAGATCTGGAAGAGGAAGATCTCTTCGCAGAGGCAAAATTTGATTGTTTGTTGAAAGCATCAATCCTAGAGGATAATGAGTTTCTCCTATTGAAAGTTATTTCTACTTTCCTAGAATTATCCTAAGATATTTCTTGAATTTGAGGAGCAGGTTTAGGAACACAAGACTTAGCTTTATCCATAACCCACTTTTCTGAGAGAGTAACTTTGTCCCACTTGATAATACTAGGAAGAAAGACATTAACCTTTTGTTATATTAGTGACAAATAAAGTATTCTCACCTTTCTGGGGTTTGAGGAGGACTGTAGAAGCACAAGAGTTCATAACCTTATACTGAATCCTATATATTAAAGCAGCGGGAATAGATCCCTCTTTCATGTCTAAGCCATGAAAGCGAATGTTGAGAAACAGAGAGTCTAGAATATTTCTATCCATAAGACTCACTGTCTTGTTTGGATAGCAATTGAAATACCAGTCCTTGATTGAGGCTAGTTTCTACAGTCTCTATAAGGTAGTCTTCAAACTTGTTGTGCCTAGCATTAGTAAGACACATTAAGACAACGACATCTATACTTATGTCTATCAATGGTTTAATTGCTACCTGAACACATCCTATGTGGAGGTATTTGTATTTTTTTTTTTTGTGCTCATTTACTGAGTGTTTCGGCAAAAGATGGAACTCTTTTCCTATGTCTTGACCTAGGGGAATGTTGTTCTCAATAGTCTTGATAATGTAATCAGAGTTGTTTCTTTTGGATTATTTTTCAAGCACATATAATATATCCTGAGGGATTTTTGGAATAGTCCAGTCATCCATGCTTTGGTTAATCTCTTCGAATCGAACTTCTTTGTCGAAGAAGTTGTGTTTTGGTGTAATCTCAGGAGATTATTTCTCCTCATCATTGAAAAGTAAGTTTTTGGTTGGAGAGGAAGAAAATGAATTAGAGCTAGAACGAAGGGAGATACGAGAGAATAAGCGGAAGAGTTTTTACATCATGCTAATAAACCTCTTATTCACCCTCATTTAGTTTCATAAAAAAATATATTGTTAGATCTTTTATAACTTTTTCTTTTATATATGTTGGGTTCGCCTTGAGTATAAGATATTTTTATAAAATTTAAGAGTATTTATTACTTTTTATATATTTATTTATTTATATTAAATCTTTATAATTTCTTAATAATTAATAAATAATAGAAGTTGACTTTAATTAAGAATAAACTTGAAATTATATTATAAAAATTAATATATTAAATACTTTCAATAAATTTTTTTATTACTGCAATTTAGGAATTGGAGAGTACCTTTCATTATTAAACTTTAACTCATTAATAATTAATTATAACGATCAAATTTAACTTTAATTGGAGATAAATTTATAATGTTGTAATTATTTTTAAAAAATTAATAAATTATTTACAACGTGTAATTTAGCTTAAAGATTCTTTTATAATGAATTATTGAGATATTAAGTTTAAATATAATTTTTTAACAAACCCTAAAATAAATAAGGCAAAAGTAAAGGTATTGACTAAATAATTAAAAGTAAAAATATTAAATTTTTATTAATGTATCATGCCCTGCACTTAAGCATTTAGCTCGTTTCAGCCCTATCTAGTGATGCATACATGTATATACATACACACATCCCCAACATACATATATGCACATATATATTCACAACATATATTTAAAAATATACATATGAATATACATTTAGATTTATATAATTATCAATAAGTAATATTACAAAATTCGGGGCCTTACAACTCTCCCTTCGTTTAAGAAATTTCTTCCTCGAAATTCAATCACACACACACAAACTACAAAAATAACCCCGGGTACAACTCTCTCATTCTACTCTCCGTTTCCCATGTAGCATCTCCCTCATCACTTGAGCTCCATATTACCTTCACTAATGATATCTCTTTACCCCTCAATTGTTTAACACAGTGATCCTTAATCCTTACCAGGTACACATCATATGACAAGTTTTCTCTCACTTGAACCGGGTCAAAATCTATCACATGGGAAGGATCCGGCACATATTGCCTAAGTTGTGACACATGGAACACCAGATGTAGATTTGAGAGATTTGGAGGCAATTCTATCCGATATGCAGTAGGACCAATTCTACTCAGCACTTTGAATGGCCCAATAAACATAGGAGACAAGTTTTGAGACTTCAGAGCTCTCCCCACTCCGGTTACAGGTGAGACCTTCAGAAATACATGATCACCCACTTGAGACTCCAACGACTTTCGCCTTTTATCATAATAGCTCTTTTGCCTGTCTTGCTCAGCCTTCATTTTCTCTTTGATCATCCTGATTTGCTCATTCTGTCTTTGGATCATATCCGGCGCACACAGAGTCACCTCTCCAGTTTTATACCAACACAACGGGGTTTTGCACCTCCGCCCATACAAGGCCTCAAACGGTGTCATTCCAATGCTAGCATGGTAACTGTTGTTGTACGTGAATTCTACTAGTGACAAGCACTCTTCTCAAGTTCCCTGCTGCTCGAGCACACAAGCCCTCAACAAGTCCTCCAGAGATTGGATGGTCCACTCAGTCTGACCGTCAGCCTATGGGTGATAAGCCGAGCTCAGCCTCAACTTAGTCCCCAACACCCGTTGCAGGCTCTCCCAAAACCTCGAGGTAAACCTCAGATCTCTATCTGACGTCACACTAGTCGACACTCCATGCAGCCTAACTATCTCCAGCACATACAACTCTGCAAGTCGCTCCAATTTATACTTCATGTTGATCGGGAGAAAGTGTGCAGCCTTGGTCAACCGATCCACTATCACCCAAATGGCATCATAGTTGTTCCTGGTCTTAGGCAGCCCAGAAACAAAGTCCATGAAAATACCATCCCATTTTCACTCAGGGATCTCCAACGGTTGCAACAACCCAGGTGGATGCTGGTGCTCTACCTTCACCTTCTGGCAAGTTAGGCATTTAGCCACATATTTAGCCACGTCCCTCTTCATTCCATTCCACCAAAAAATCTTTCGGAGATTCTGATACATTTTAGTTGCACCGGGGTGAAAACTCATCCTGCTCTTATGCGCTTCCTCAAGCACCATTTGTCTCAGCTTATCCACTTGAGGAATGCATACTTGGTTCCGGAACTTGATCACCTCGTTCTCATCACAATGGAACTCCAACACTTTTCTCTCGGCCTTCTGCCTCATCATGTCTTGCAGGAAAACATCTTCTTGCTGAGCATCTCGGACATACACTAGGAAGTCATTATGAATCGTCGTCGCTCCGAGATACAAGCTCCTCGGCCTCACCTCCATGGCCAAGTTCATGTCTCGAAATTCCTCAATCAACTCCAACTCCTTCACCATCATTGCTACCACATGCAATGATTTCTGACTCAGAGCGACAGCTACTACATTTGCCTTGCTAGGGTGGTAAGACAATGTGAAGTCGTAGTCCTTGAAGAATTCCATCTATCTCCTCTGTCGCATGTTCAGCTCCCTCTGATCAAACAGATATTTCAAACTCTTGTGGTCACTGAACACTTCAAACCTCGCTCTATACAGGTAATGCCTCCATACATTAAGAGTAAACACCACCGCGGCTAACTCCAGATCGTGAGTCGGATAGTTGACTTCATGCGGGCGTAACTGCCTCGAGACATACCACTTGCCCGTCCTGCATCAACACACAACCCAGCCCATGTCCAAACGCATCACAATACACATCAAACTTTTGCTCTGGGTCGGGTAGTGCTAACACTGGCACCAAAGTCAATCTTATTTTCAGCTCCAAGAAACTAGCTTCACACCCCTTGGTCCACTTGAACTCTTTTCCCTTGCTAGTCAGCTTCGTTAAGGGCAACACTATCTTGAAAAATCCCTCAATGAACTTCCTGTAATAGCCTGCCAATCCGAGAAAACTGTGCACCTTAGTTACATTTGTCGGCCTCGGCCACTCAGCCACTGCTTCTACTTTTCCAAGGTCTACCATGATTCCTTCCTTCGATACCACATACCTTAGAAACTGATTTTTTGACAACCAGAATTCACACTTGGAGAATTTCGCATACAACTGTCTCCCCTTCAGAATTTCCAAGACAATCTTCAAGTGTTCGGCGTGCTTTTCTTGAGTCTTTGAATAAATGAGGATGTCGTCAATGAACACCACCACAAACTTATCCAAAAACTCGTTAAACATTCTGTTCATGTAATCCATGAACACTGCAGGCGCATTGGTCACCCCAAACGGTATCACCAAATACTCATAGTGACCATACAGCGTCCTGAACGTTGTCTTAGGCACATCTGCATCCTTCACTCAGATTTGATTGTATCCCGATCTCAAATCGATCTTCGAAAATACTGTTACTCCCCTTAATTGATCCATCAAATCATCGATCTTCGAAAGTGGGTACTTGTTCTTGATTGTCACCTTATTCAACTGCTGGTAATCCACACACATCCTCATGCTTCCATCCTTCTTCTTCACCAAGAGCACTGGTGCTCCCCACGGTGACACACTCGGTCTTACAAACCATTTCTGCAATAGATCCTCTACTTGCTTCTTGACCTCTGCCAATTCCATCGGTGACATCCTCTAAGGCGCCACAGAAATTGGGCTTGCTCCCGGAATGAGGTCGATAGCAAACTCTATCTCCCTCTCAAGCGGTAGCTCAAAAACATCTTCAGGAAACACCTCCAAGAAATCCCTCACCACCAGAATATACTCCGGCTTCACTACACTTTCGGCCTCCATCGAAAATATTACCATAAAGGCCTTGGCATTTACCGTATTCTCCCACGCTCCTTAGCTCATAAGCCTTGGAACCTCAGCTATTGTTGCACCGAAGATCAAGGTCTTCTCCCTACAGTCCAGTAGCACATGGTTGGCGGCAAGCCAATCCATTCCCAGAATTACATCCAGTTGAGAAAGAGGTAAACAAATCAAGTTCACCTCGAACTTCCTACCGTGCACCATCACTGCACACCCCAAACACACCCATGACGTCACAACCAGCTTATCCGTAGGGGTAGTCACCACAACATTGCACGACAATTCAGTCACGTACAAGCCCAGACTCTTCACACAGTCCACAAATATAAAAGAATGCGTAGCACCCGAGTCAAACAACACATCAAGTAATCTGCCTTTAATAATGCATTTACCTCGGATCAGCTCCTCTAAATGTGAAGCCTCTGCCCCACTCATAGCAAAGACTCTCCCGAGGATGCTCGGCTTCTGTCCCGTACTTGGCCCTGAACTTCCTCTTGATTCCGGCCTGTGGGATGCACTTGCACTACCGCTTCTCTTAGCGGCCTAACACTCATTGGCAACGTGCCCTGACTTCCCACAGTTGCTGCAAGTTATCCTCGACTGTGGGCAGTCCTTCACTATGTGTGGCCCTCCACACCTGAAGCACTTGAGCGGCCCTCTGAAAGAGTTTGATCCTGAAGTACTTCCATTACTCTTCTCTTGAGAAGAACTTCCTCAGGATTGAGAACTATTCGAGCCTGAATACGGCCCCTTTGAGAACCTCGGGGGTCTTCTATCATGTCTCACCAGACCAGCTCCCCTAGTGTCCACCGTCTTCCCTCTTGAGTTAGCTTCAAAGATTCTGCTCTTGCTCAGTAGAGTGGGCAAGTCTGTCAGTTGAAACACACTGACTGCAGCCCGAATGTCTGGCCTCAATCCATGCTCAAACTGAGCACACAGATCCTCCTCTCCATCACCATGCTGATAGTGAGGCCAGTACTTCATTAGCTCTTGGAACTTAGCTGTGTATTCCCCCACAGTCATACTTCCTTGCTTTAGCTCAAGGAACTACCTAGCCTTCTGCTTCCTTAGGTCCCAGGGAAAGTGGTTCCCTAAGAAGATGGTCTTGAATGCTTCCCACTGAACATATCCATCTTCTTGTGGCAGGGTCTGACCGGTAAACCTCCACCAGTCCTCAACCTCTCAACACAGCAAATAGGTGGCATAGACAACCTTGTTCTCCTCTTGGCACCCCCATTGCATTGAAGATCTTCTCCACATCAGCTACCCACCGTTGAGCTCTTTTGGGGTTGAATCCACCCTAAAACTTTGGAGGATCATGCCTAGTGAAGACAAATAACCCTCTATACTCAGCTGGCTCTCTGCCTTGATTGTGCACTATGGCTTTCCAGAATCTAAGCCATGCGTTTCATGAGGTCATTGTGCCTCTAGCTCCTCTACCTCTACCTCTATCTCTACCAGACATATTCTAAACTACACAATTTAACAGTCACAGTCTAACTCATCAGATCAACAATACATTTATAATTAAGGCAAACAAAACAATCAACACTTATCTTAGACACTTTAGCCCGATATCCCAGTCCGATTTGGATGAACTGCTTTGATACCAAAATTGTAACACCTTAATTTTAATTTCAATTAAATAATAATTTCGCAAATCAGATAATCAAGTTTTCATAAAAGATTTTGAAATAAGTGAAGAGTTACAAATTAATATCAAATAACTGCTATAGGACTAGTTCAATTACAACATTTTTAAAATAAATTCTATGTCCTATAGCAGTCCATCCGTCCCTTCATTGAGTCCTGTACTAATTGTCTTGGTTACCTGAAAAATGAATGTAAGGGTGAGTATTCTACACTACTCAAAAGCACATAGTCAGCATAGAGTCTCACCTCCAGCACATTACCAATATATTAAGCAAATACAATCACATGCATCATTTCACATTCACAAGTACAATATACAAAATTGTGCATACGCACAACAGCCACACTCACTATAGCACTGTGATCACATATTTACACCATGAATGGTCGTCGGTTACTCCTGCCTCACAGATACCACGTGGACAGTCACAGGTCGCTCAACAAAGATAATAGTCAGAGGTCTAGTGAGGAAGAGAGTGTGTGGCCCGTGATGCACCTGTTCCGCAGTCGGTGTCACCACCACTCCCTCTTCCCCAAGGTATTTCTACTGTCCTCATCTCCTACATCCCTAGTGTATCGTTGAACCATTCACAGCACATTACAACGACGCTAACACGGCCATTCACACATATTTCATTCACGCATGCAATAGTCATGCTTGCATATGGCACACAACCTACAAGTATCATTCATATTACACGGCCCTTGGACCCACATTTTCACAATATTCATTCAAATATACGGCACAAGTGCCCACACTCATTCTATCACACAACATTTACATATAATCCAAATCCCTCAATTTCGTATCAATACACATATTGTTCACATATCACGACACATGGCCCACATTACATTTCTCAGCAATTTCCTACCAACTAACTCAACCACAATACAATATTCAGCAGAATATCAACAATTCATGCACAAAAGAGTATGATAGAGTCCCCCCTCACCTCGGATTGAAGATCCACACGCTAAATCCACCAAGAGATGCTCCCCCTCATAGATTTCGTCCTAAACACATGGAGAAACTCTATGAGAACCCAGGAAAATCATGAAAATAGAGAGATATTCGTCCTAAACATCTGATCGCAACACTCTTGCTACAGCGAGATATTCTCGCTACAGCGAAAAACTAGAGAAAATTACACTTTGGTTTCTGCAGAATCTTGCTACAGCGAGGCCCTCTAGCTACAGCGAGGCTGTATCCAGAAATGCACCATAAACTGTTGCTACAGCGAGACGTATCTCGCTACAGCGAGAAGGCAACAGTTCTGGTCCTTCCTCCCAGGACCCTTTTGCTATAGCGAGAATCCTCTTGCTGCAGCGAGAACAGCCCAATATCATGTCCTGCACTTAGGCACTTAGCCCATTTCAGCCCTATCCAGTGATGCATACACGTATATACATACACACATCCCCAACATACATATATGCACATATATATTCACAACATATATCTAAAAATATACACATGAATATACATTTAGATTTATATAATTATTAATAATTAATATTATAAAATTTGAGGCGTTACAAAGATTAAGTATTTACTTACTTAACTTGTAAAGAACTAAATTCTAATAGAAAAATAAAACTGGCACTAAATCTAAGCTATAAACTTTATAAGGACCATAAACTTATTTAAGAAGAAAAATGTTCATTAATTTCATATAATCAATACGCTTAAGACACTAAATAGCATATCTCCAAAGTTTTTTAAAATAAAATCACTAATGCACTCTTACTTTGATTTTCATTATACTCCCAACATGATCTTTCACAAATTGATTCTTCACGACTGTTATTAAAATATTTATCACCAGGACTTTTTGTATAATTTATAATTTACGCGGTTATGTAAATAATGTTATTCAATATGTTATTAAATATTTATGTAAGATATTATTAATTCAAGTATTATTGTTTAATATACTTAACTACGGTATAAGATATTCTATGAAATTTTAAGGAATTGTTAGATTTTAGAAAATGTTTTTTGTTTTTAAATATTTGTTTCTATATCTAATTACAAAATTTTATTTCATTGTTATTTTTAAAAAAAAAATTGTATAAAAAACATTAAAAAGTTATTTTTAATGTTTTTTATTATTTTTTGTATAAATTAAAAATAAAAAATAAATAAAAAGATTTTATTTTTTACACTCGCTTTGTCTTCGAATCGATCATTGTCGTGAAGCTTTTCATTTGCATATCATAAAGGTTTGTGAAAGGTCATATAGTGAAGTACGAAACTTAGTCAAGGTAACAAATAATCAGTCAAAGCTGAATCAAATTTGCATTATTTTGATAAGGAAATCTAACCAACTTGATTACTATTTGTGACTTGCACAACTGTAACTTGAAAATAAAGTCAAATTAATGCTACAAAGATAATCAAGTTTTTAAAAGGGTACAATTTGTTATTAGTGCTCCTTAAAATGTTTCATATTAATTAGCAGTTGAGTTATAATATTCTTGATATGGCTCAATAATGCTCATTCTTTGAGCTAGTTTTTAAAAGTAAGTTAAATCTAATTTAACTAAAAATAAAACTAGAATATTTTGTATAAAACTTGAACAAAATTTATATGATAAGTTAACTTTGTGAGTTAAGTCTAATTTTTTTAACATGATATTGAAGTTTAACTGGTTAAAATATGATGTTCTATATAGGTTTCAAATGTAATTATAATATTCTTTATAAGATTGATAAGTAAGAAGTTTTTATTATTGCTTGAATGATAATTTAAGAAGGGTTATGAATATATATATATATATATATATATATATATATATTAATATTCTTAATAATTAATTAATATTAAAAGAGTAAAATGTATATAAATTTTGTAATTTTAACTATAAACAAAAAGTATGTTTAAAAAATTATATTAAAAAATATTACTAACATTTTTCATGATAATTTGGATGTGTTTCACTAGCAAGTCAGGTCTAGATATTTTTTTATGTGTAATTTAAAATATTCTATGAACTATACTATAATTATGAATTATTTAAAATATATTTTAACCTTGTTTTGATTGAACAAAGTATGTTATAGGAAATAAACAAAATTATTTGATGTATTATTTTTGTATTATTATGTGCAATGTATTAATCCAAACACTATTTTTTTAATTAAGATTTAAAAACTTAAATTGTGATTAAAAATATCAAAAGAAAAAATAATTCAAATATCTAATCAACGTGAAAAAGTACCACATTATATTTCATTGTATAATTCACTAATTAAGATAGTAGTTAATAAAAATAATTCTCTTAAATATATTTAGAGAGTTATTACATTATAATTGTTCTCTAAGGAGACTTTGAAATACGGTTTTTTAATTTAAAATTTAACTACTCTCTAAAATTTAACCATTTTTTGAGGTCATACTTTAGTGAGCAGTTTTGTATTCTAAAGTTATTCTTGTTGAAAAGTGTTACATACTAATTCACTACTCTCAAATTAAAATTTTAAAATATCTAGCAATTTATATTTTATAAAGAAAGTACACTCAACTTGAATCTTATGAATCTTTTCATTTTTTAATGCTAACAATGTTGTTAGGAATGGGTATTGACAACTCGTACACTTAAGAATGATTGAGAGAAGAATGAGAATATTTTTTATTCGAATGAATGGTCAAACACACAGTATTTACAACTGCAATTTCTTATTTATGGAAGTTTGTTGCTAACTGTCACTAACTAATCTCAACGGGTGTAAAACTATAAAACTAACTATATGTAACTCATTAATCACATACTATGATCTGAATCAACCACCGAATCACAACACACCCCTCTTAATTCAGATCATTCAATGAAACAACACTTAATATTTTTCTAAGTTGCTTGAATTTGTCTATGCTTAAAGACTTAGTTAAAATGTCTGCTTCTTGTACTTCGCTTCTACAATGATGTAGCTCTATCTCCTTCTCAACAAGATCTCTCAAGTAATGAAATCGAGTTTCAATGTGCTTGCTTCTTCCATGAGCAACAGGGTTCATTGCAAGATTGATTGTTGATTGATTATCAACATACACTACACTAGCCTTTGAAAATTCAGCTGCAACTCCTTGAGCAATGAATCGAGCCATGCTTCTAGGCAAGTAACATAAGCAGCTACCACATATTTAGCTTCACAGGTTGATAAAGATGCATTTGGCTGCTTCTTAGAACTCCATGAAATGGTAGCTCCAAGAAACTTGTAAACATAACTAGTAGTACTCTTCTTCTTTGTTCTATCACCACCCCAATCTGCATCTGAGAAGTCAATTAGTCTTTCTTTACACTCTTTAGGAAACAGTACACCAAAGTCTTATTTTCCTATTAGATACCTTAGAATCCCTTTTGCAATC